GGGGGCTTAAGCGCCGTACACTCTGAATCTCTCCTCGTCGGGAATGAACGTCTTTTCCTTCGGCGCCGTTTCCGGATCGATGCTGTTGCGCGGTTTGCGTTGATGTCGCGCCAAGTTTGCGGCGAAACGAGGAGGGCAAACGAATGGGTCGGGATGGGTTGTTTGCGATGGTTGGTTTCGATGGCCAATGCATGACCCACGAGTTGTGGAGGGTTGCAACGCGAGAGTTGGATAGACCAGAGAGAGAGAGACGCAAAGATGGCGAAAAGAACGTAAAAGAGGCGCAAGAGCGTGGGGCAAGAGGAGAAGAGACGAGGAGATGCGCGCCCCACGCCCCGACGAAGAGAGAGAGAAGGCACGGCCCGAGAAACGACGGCAAGCGCCGAGATCGACACGGGCGGCGGACCGGAATGGGCGCAGCGTGGCGATGTATGGGCGATGCATGGGCGCGAGCAAGGGCGCAGCACAACGCACAAGCAGTGTGAGAAATGGCGCCGAGCATGGGGTCGAAGCATTGCGTGTAGCCATGGGCGATGTGGTCGTGGAGGCCAATGCCCGAGATCGCAAGAAAAGTGCGAGGCGGTGATGGCATGGCAAAAGACGGGCGGTCGTGTGGGCGTGGGATAGGGGGGATGGGAAGGATTGATGATGGGGCAGATGTGGGCGATGTGGACGGGTGCGGCGAATTGCGAATGCGCGAACCGCAAATGCGCGAAGAGCGAAGAGGCGAAGAGGCGAAGAATGTGTGTGGTGTTTGCCCCCCGTCGAGAGAGCCGATCAGTTTTGCAAACGGTTTGAAGGGCCCAATTTGTACGGCGCGCGAGAACGGGTCGCACGTATTGCAGTGCGGCGCAAGAGACGATGGAAGGGTCCGAGACGGCGATGGGCGCAAGACCGTTTGCCGTGGCGTTTCCATGCGTTGGGGGGAAGGGGGGGGGGCCGGGGAAGATGGCAGCGCAACCCCCAGCGTAACGAGCGAGCGACGAGCGGGTTAGAGCGACGTAGATGGAGCGAGATCGGATTGCCCAGCGTAGCCCGGCGTTGTCGCAGTCGAGAGTGAGAGCCGGGTCGGGTAGCGTGCGAAGAGAAAGAGGGCGAGTGAAGCAGGGCGCGCAAAGAAGAGATGCGCAAAGCGTAAGAAGGCGAAGAGGGGAAAGCGGTTGCGTTTTGCACCCCCAGCGAGCCCAGCGGTGAGGCAATCAGGAGTTGAAGAGGAGAGCGAGATGGAAAGAGAGCGAGGATGAATGAATGGGAAGAAGGAGAGCGTCAGCAACCCAGCAGGCTTCTTCCGCTTGCCCCCCCCCCCCCCCCCCCCCCCCTTTTCCCGTTCTGCTACCCCACCTTGATCCCCCGCACCAATGCCCCCAACCTCGCCTCTGCGCACGATGTACTCACGCGCCAAACACCAGTTCCGCCATGCATTTCCACGTCTGCGGCAGTCCAAAGTGTCGTTGCACCTCTCCCTCTTCGCCGCCGGCCAGCTGCGCATAGTGCTGCAGATTGGCGCCGAGGCCCTGCTCTGTAATGGCAAGCCAGACGGCGAGTTGCGCCATGCCGGCCGAGTGCAGGGACCACTGTTGCCTGCCGTGTCAGCAGCGCAATAAGAGGACGTTCTGCTACCCCACCTGATCCCCCCCACCAATCCCCGAAGACGCACAGGATCAAAGCCGGCTGCATATGCCGGACTCTTGAGCTTCATCGCCTGCACCACCGCCGCGTCTTCAAAGAACAGCACCGTTCCCTGGGCCTTTGCAAAGCCTGCCAATCTCTCGTCTACCTTCTGTGCCGCTTCTTCTCCCCACGCCCGCCGCAACACACTTGGAATCAACTCGCGCCAATAATGCGTGTGTGCGGCGCCGAAGAGTAGCAGGGCGCGCGAGGATTGCGAGTTGAAGGCGGAGGGAGAGGCGCGGATGGCGGATTGGATGAGCTGAGTGAGAGAAGAAGAGGAGTGGGAAGATGGAGAGAGAGCGTAGTGCGAACGACGCGAGGCGAGGAGGGGCATTTGGTGCGTGCGTGCGTGGTGGTGGTGGAAAGGCAGAGAGTGGAGATGAGGCAAGCATGGCAAGTTGCAGGCAGAGTGAGGCGAGGCAATGAATGGCAAAGTGCAGAGGGCAAGCACGCCATTGCATGAGGCTTGCTGGCCCGTGCGTGGGAGCAGCAGCGCCTCCACCTCGCCGTCAAGGCCATCAGCCTCGCCTCCCTTCGCCTTGCCTGCCCACCACCACCCACCCCTCGATGCGTCGCTCTCTGCTTGCCATGTCGCACCGCACCAAGCTTCCCATTCTCTCTGCGCCTCTCCCCTCTCCCTCCTCTCGCCTCAGCAGTCTCCCTCCCGACGTTTCCCTCCCGCATGCCTCCTCTCTCCTCGCCTCCTCTCCTCATCTCTCTCTCACGCGTCGTTCTCGTCAATTGCCTACCGGCGTCTTTTCCTACGTCGATCCTCTGCCTTTGTCCTTTCCTTATGCCTTTACAGAGGCGCAAATCGCCGCTGCAGACGCGAGTCTGGCGGGCAAGAGCGACTCAGAGGTCGCCAGTGGGCGCATCGAGGCCCTCTTGCGTCCCTACGCGCCGCATCGCCAGCATCTGCATCCGCTCAGCGACGCCACTGCACCCTTAGAAGCCTATCTCCCGCCAGGCCGCACCGAGTCCTCCTTCCCTTCTGCCCGTCTCCTCGCCCTCTCTGCCGCGGCACTCGAGCTGCTTCCACTTGACGTCGGCGATGCGCACGCGTGGATCGCCGCGCAGCAGGGCAAGCAGGAGGCGTGGAGCTCGGGCCCCAAGGCACACCTGCCGGGCAAGGGAGAAGAGGAGGCAGAGGCGAGGAAGAGGTACCTCCTCAGTGATGTCCTCGCGGGCCGCGCAGTAGGCGCCAGCTTCGAACAAGCAGAGGGGGACAAAGGATATGCGCCGTTTGCCAATGCGTATGCGGGGTGAGTGGCTTGATGCCTGCAGTGTGCGACAGAAAGCTGGCCGATTTGGTCTCCTCCGTTGCGCGAAAAGCAGCGAGGCTTTGGAGAACTGGGGCTCGGCAGATACGGCCGCAGCCGGAGCCGGAGGTGGGCGCGGCGATGGCGATTGGGCTGCGCTGACGAAAAGGGTCGGCATGTCACAGCCACGTGTGCGGCGCGGCGCAGCGGAGCCACACGTGTGTGTGTGTGTGTTCCGGACAGCATCGCCGCGTAAGGCTGCTGTGGGCTCTTTTCGCGCCGATCTTGGCGATGCTGCGCGCGCCGAGGAGGGGGGGAGAGGGGGAAGGAGAATCTGGCGAGTTGTGGCATGGCGCAGGAGCTGGGGCAGTTTCAAGGCGTGGTGTGTGTATGGCCTGCTGCTGCTGCGCGCTCCACGTCTACGCTCGCTCTCCGCAGGGTGGGGACGGAAATAGGGTACGCACGCACGGAATTTTGCGAGGCCACGAGTCGCTCTCTCTCTCTCGCGCGAGAATAGGGGAGGGGGGGCTGGTTCCGAGGGGGTTCCGAGGGGGTTCCAACGACGAAGGGGACAATGAACTCGAGCGGCGTACGCGGGGACCCAAAGCGCACACCCTTACGACCACCCACATTCGCGCCGCAAGCCAGAAACAGAACTGACCTTTTTTTCCACCTATTGCGCTGCTTCGTGCGTGCGGGGGGAAACAACAGACATCAATTCGGGCAATGGGCAGGCCAGCTAGGCGATGGGCGGGCCATTACACTCTGTACGTTTTTGCTGTT